CGAAACATGCATGTCACTGACGATCCTCCACCTAGCGTGCGCACAGCAACAAATCCTCCATGGTCGAGCAGCGGACTCAGAGACACGCCTGTTAAAGTAAAGCAGAACCGAACCCGAATGCCTTTGCCAGAGTGAGGGTTGAATCGAACGAACGGAAAAATTGCGATTTCGCTTTTCTGCGCACCCTGTGCATCTCACAATCTCTATGCAAGTATGACTGTTGAGTCCATGAAGGTATTCGACCATGCAGTTCCGCCAGTGCTGAATATTGCGCACGAGGTACCTTGTAATAAGGCTCAGGTTATGGTGTAGGTACTTTAAATTCCTTTTCTCCTTAAGGTGCACATCACGCATGTTGACCAAATGCCTTCGTTAGCAAGTATAATAGCTGTACACACATTTTTAGCATTCGGAGTTGAATTTCTTCAAGGATGCGAAATATCGCGGCCGTTCGACTTTAATTGCAACTAAAGTCATTACTTCCACACTCGTACGTTGGTTGTCAAGTTACAAGAATATGAGGTTGATTATCCGATTTCGTGATACGGCGCACCACACATCTGATCATGTAAAGGTGTTTCCTTAATCTCATGCGGATTAGTCGTTGACCAGACGCGGCTGTTTTGGCTATTGACATAACCGGGTAAATGAAACCACGCCTGATCGGTAAAAAAAAAAAAAAAATTTGACGTCCCGGATATCTACTCCATTGAAGTTTTTCAACCATGGACAATATTCCACACGAAAGTCGACTCTCCAGCTTGCTTGGGTATTACGTACCTATATTGCCCGATATCGAGGAGTTAGTTAACCCATATGCGTCAAGTGTCTTCTCGCCCTTTCTTCTTCGCCCTGGACGAAGCGTATTAGTACGACGTCAAATGCGGATGGGCCCACTAGCATCGACGAACATCTATCTTTGCTTATCTCACCTAGATTTCTCCTGCTTTAGACTGCAGCGCGAGTTTTACGAGACTCTCTTCCTAAGCTCAAGGCTTGGCAGACAATTGTAGGGATGGTGCGCCCCAATAAACTTTCAGATGGGAGTAGCTACTGTCCAAGTGGCTCTCTCTCTCTCTCTCTCTCTCTCTCTCACGGTGTAATTATTATCATTATCCGAGGAAGTAATACGGCGAGCTAATAATTATGAGTCCCCCTGTTTGCATTTATTCGATTACCTTTTCAATATCAACTGATTGAGCTGAAACATTTAATGCAATCTTCGGATACGGACGAGAACGAGTGGGTATGCCTTGGACAAACTTATTGTATAGGGATAATGGAACATTATTTTGAAAGTCACACACTAGTGACTTCACAAGGAACTTTCAGACGTGAGACTATACCAGTAAATCCACTATTCTGCGGTACGTTGCCGAATTTAAGAGGGTGTGTGGCTGGTAAGAAGCAAAACTGCACACCATTTGTGCGAACAGTAGAGACGATAGCTGAATCGCTGAGTTAATGGCGGCTGAGTCCCAAGAAATCCATTCGCCTCATGCCGAGTCAGACCCGCAACTGTTCGCTACATGCCCCACAAAGATCTAAACTTGTTGAAATTCGGAAGCTATGCCTTTTCTTTCAACCTTTTATCGGTCTGTGACGTGATTTAACACCATTCCTTTTATATTTTTTTGCATCAAATGATTTAAATTAAAATCCAATGATAGTTTATAACATTAATGGAAGTCAGTATCATGTCACTGCATAGGTTATGCATGCTTTCATACCATGTTGCTGCATTCAAGAGCCTCTCTTTTCATCGTTGTCTTTCTGGTAAGTGAAAGAATGTATGATGATAGCAATTAACTTTCCCATGATTATTTCCTTACACTAATGCCATACATGAATTGTTGATTGAATCATACAAACATTTTCCACCATCCAGGCGCTGTCGATATTTGTCATTGATTGCTTGCGGTCCATCGTAGTTTGAACTCAGGAAATACTTTTTTCGATGAAAAAATTTTTCTAGCAACGGTGATCATTTCCTTGTCATACCAACAGTTGTCTATAGTCTCACATATGCATGCTCATCTTGAATTGCATTTCTGGTTCTGTGTGTCATTTGTATAATTTTACATGATCAGATACTCTCCTAGCGGATCTTTTACGTTTATCTCCATTTGCCTAACACGCTTTTGTGGTACTTCCTTTTCTCGCTTGGTGCCACTATTGTCGCGAAATGTTCTTTGAATGAGGAGGTGGATATGAAGTTTTACTGAATTCTCATTAACTAGGGTGAGTGTTGAGGATTTTTCGGAACGTTGGTCACCCTGAAGTCCTTTACATTTTAAATTAAATTTGTTCATTGGCAAGCGGGATAAACTCAGACTGGATCTGCTGTAAGTGTTCCTTTCCGTACCAGCCTGGGTCTGGCTGTTCTTGACTCATAATTACATGCTCTGAGCTGTCACATTCTCCATTTTCAAGTCGATTGAGTGCATCCTTCACGGCATTTGTTTTCTTGTGTCAAGAGGGCTGTTGCAACATTATGTACGACAGCTTGGAATTCTTGAAGTCTTTCTACATAGTGAAGTAATGTAAAGAGGTCTAGGTCGTTCCTGGGACTTCAAGATCATCTTCACATACTCCTTTGCATCTTTCATTAGATGATATGCGCCTGGATGGGATATCTTCAAATTTCCCCTTCTCTTTCCTCTCCTTTGCATGCCAATTCTTATTCACCTGAAACAGTAGTTTCCTTGCCACCGTTGAAATTCCATATTAAATAAATATTTAAAGTTGCTTAAATTTTTCCATATCAATTTAAGTGAGTGGAAAGAGAAGCACTTCTGAAATTGAAAAGACCACTGTCAAATTTAAGGTGACTAATCCCGAATATTGTCTGGAAAACCGATCATACTTCAAATCCAGAGATGGGCTTCAGGAACTCCTTTAATTCATTTAGGAGGGAATTTCCAATCACCATGAACTTGGCCATACCTGCCAAAGACATGAAAATTCTCTGAAAGAGGTATTGGACAATCTCAATTCTTCATCTGATATCTTCGCAAATCAGGCAGGCTTCTTCCAGGCCTTACGCTAAGCGGGAGGACATTGCACGAAGCGCTTCTGTTCGACGTCAAATGCGAATGGGCCCACTAACATCCACGAACATCTTGCCTTACCTGACCTAGTTTTACTGCTCTAGCCTGTAGCGCGAGATCTAAGAGACTGTACCTCCCAAGGCTTGGCAGAAACTTCCAGGGATGGTGCGCCCTAATATGCATTTGAAGTGGAGCACGTGGGTAGGTCATGAGCTTATCGTGCAAGGGAAACGTAGAGTTTGGGGAAGTACTTATTCTTTTGTGTTTGTATCTCTAAAGAATATTCTGTAATATCAGCCGCCCGCTTTATTTTCTTGGTTGCATGGAGAGTTTCAATAAATATTGTAATTCTAGTACCTTGTCGGCCCCCCTCTTGCCCGCAACCACAGCATCACATGCTGCTGATTACATTTTGGATGTTAGAGAGTTGTGTCGAATTAATGTATTGATGGGTAACAAGAAAGGCCATACTGACAGCTATAATTTTCCAACGATCAGGGGCTTTCGGGCGCTCTCGCAATAAAACGAACATTATCACCAACACTGAGGATCTATTATGTCTGGGAAAAAGTATCCGGAACTTTTCGACCCACATTTTTGAAACGCTGTAACTTTTTATGCAACAAGCCTTATAAAAATAATCTGCCTCATAATCTAGAACTTTTCCCCACCTTTCCTTAAAAGAATCGATTCCTCTTTCCCAAAAACACCCCATCCCCTGAGCCAAAGAAACCAAGTGCTTCTTGCGCATGCAGTTATCCGGCGACCTGAATAGATAGTAGTCCGATGGTGCAACGTTCGGTGAATACGATGGATGCGGCAGAATTTGACAGTCGAGGTCCTTCAATTTTTGCTGGGTCTTTTTGGCGATGCGTGGTCTTGCGTCTTTTTCGATCGACCGACGCGGCCAGAGATTTAAGCAGGACTTCATGGACACGCTGTAGTTGTGTGCAGTAGACGTCCGCGTCGATGGACCGGCCGGTCTCGAGGAGCTCGTAGTGCACTACGCCGAATCGGGCCCACCGAATCCACAAAAGGGGCCTTCTTTGGGTGTAGGTCGGGTTTCGGCATTTTGCTCGGGGGTTCATCAGGGTCCAGCCAAGAGTATGATCTTCGTTGGTCGTTCCACAGTACCCACTTCTCACGTGACGTGGTGATCCGGCCAAACATCGGATCTTCCTTGTGACGCGACAGCAAAGGTGCGCAAATGTCCGAAACCGAGAAGATTCAACGAGCGACCAACTTGTGAGGGACCCGTTTGTCCAGTTTGCACACCTTTCCCACGGTGTGAAGGCGATCGGACGCGGTTGTACGGTCGCAGCCGAGTTTGCTCGCCGATTCAGACGTGGTTTAGTGCGAGTCATCTTCGATCGTGGACTTTAGCGCATCGTCTTCGATGACGGATGGGCGTCCAGAACGGAGTTCATCTCGAAGAGTTCGATCTCCGCGTGTAAACTTCTCAATTCGTTCGTATGCCGTGGATTTGCTTAAACAGGCCTCGGGGTACGCCTTCATGCGACGGACCGCGTCGTTCGCGTTGCGCCCCTTATCGAACTGGAGAAGTAAGCGTGACGTGAAGCGTGAAGTAAGCGGATAAGACATGCCGAGCACACGTGCTGATCACGTGATTGTTCTTTAAATCGGACATTGGTCTTCATATCTCCCTATATACAGTACCAGGAATCTGCCTGGTAATTTAAATTAAAGCATTCCCCTGTTACGAAGAGTAAGGAAGGTGATCTTACTTCCATTTTTGCTACAATACGGTGCGAACTTGAGTGAAGCCGGCAGATTAGAACTTTCAAGTAAACGCTAGTGGACAAATATAAGGTGGCGGCGGTGGGTATTTCCATCTGGCTATCCACTAGGTTCCTCGTACGCATGTGTTTTGTGATGAATAACTTGAAATACGAGTACTTGCTCTGGGCAGGGTGAGGTGCTTAAGGAACAATGGTAGAGGAGTGTCGTTGGCTGGGTGAGGCACCAGACGATCCATGCCTCGACAAAACCCGTCGCCTAGTCATTCCGTGTTTGCGCCGCATCCAGCTGGACTCGTCCTCCTCTTTCCCCCGGTCGTCGGCACGAGTCGAGAAGATGCAAGCCGCCGCTCTCGATTCTTCTCCATCGACTCTCCGCATTTTACATGTACTCGATGATGCACGCAAGTCCGAGAGTGCACGATGGTCAAAGAGGGATCGTGCCTTCCAAAAGGATCGTCGGCTTCGATCTCGTGCAGCACGAGAGAATCCGGTCGACTCTGTCGATTGGAATGTTCCTGGCACCGATGAACGTTACTACTTCACACACGAACGGAAGACTGCCGTGCAGTATGTCTTTAGGCATATTTGCGGAAAGACGAAAACAGGCAGTCTTTCAAGATGATGTAAAAGTTATATTCCAGCATGGAAAAAATGTCATGCCCATACACTTAGAGATATGCGTACCGTGCTCTAAGTACTAGTTACCATTGCAATAGCAACGATGACAGGTTCGATGTCGTCACTGCGATTTGATGGAAAGCCCCCATGCCTTCTAAGATGAGCTAGTGGGATTCTCTCGAGGGACGAACTTTGATCGGGATGAAAGACGGATTTTATTGCCCGCCTGCGCTTCAGGTTATCGCTATGGTGTCACGTGCAACATGGAGGAATGCCTCATCGAGCACGTGGAAGGAATCATCCATCGGAAAGCAATATTGGAAACGGACCCGTCGGAAACGGAAGGAGAAGACGAGTGGAACCGAGTCTTAACGAAGTCGGGCTTTTCCAGCGAGCCTTATTGCCTTTGTCTTTTTGCCATGTAGTTTCATTGGGATCTCATTAATTTCCTAAACCCATTTCGGCAATAGCTTTTTTTTTCTAATGCTGCGAGAAGTATGAGGGAAAATTTGGGATTTGAGTGCGTACGAGTCCTTCGATTCCAACAAGAGCCAAATGATTGCAGAATTCCAGGATTGGAATTCCTTTTCGTCTCTTGCTCGAAAATCTGGTCATCTGTCCACCCTCACGGTATCTCTGGCAAGCTGCCTTTATATGATTTGTAATTCGTTTCCGTTGCGCAACGAGAAGAACTATCTTCATTCGAGTCATTATCATACGATAAGGGGAATTTTGTTTCCTGGTTTTACCCAGGAGAATGAGAGAATAGAGAACCACGCTGTCGACTTGCGTTAGACGCCCGTGCTACGCGCTCTGGTGGAAGTTCGCTTTCGCGGGTGGGTGAAGGCGGCGAGTGTCGTGCGAGCGAAGTCCCTTCTGTAATGCAGTCTATTGCTCCATTCACTTTTGTCTTCATGAGCGAGGAGTCTCGGCAGGGATATTATTGCTTACTGTGGCGGAATGGGACGGCCACTGCTCCCATGTGAGACGTGCCTGTGTGTTTCTTCCTAATATATGTTTTTAATTGAGTTGCTCTGACGGTACGAGGACAAAACAATTTCCTGTTTAGCGAAGTACCCATACTCACTCGCCATTGCTTCCATTGGGGAAATGTAACAACACGTGCATTTTCCTTTGCAGATTATATTCAGGCCTCACCGCGCCATTCGCACCCAAGGTGTATTCTCTTCAATTCCCATAGTACGAATAAGCAGGAGTGCCAGATCTTAGAGGAAATATAGACCCAATCGAGGGAGCGAAGTGACATCCTCTGAGTCTGTGAGGTCAATTCCGTATCGACTTTTATTGACGTCCCCATCAAGCAGTTCTACAATGTCGATCTAGTTTAAATATTTTGCATATTTACAATCAAGCTTGCCATTGTCTAAATATACAATTAGAGGATTTTACAAATTGAAACTTTTTGAATTGAACAGATTGGGGGTCCTCTCTAAAACGGGACCATCAAAATTCTTAAATTCTCACTTTACTAGGTTGAGCGTTGATTTCCTTAAGGTAGCTGTGACGTGATTCCACTACAGCCCTTATGAATAGACTCATCTGCACAGAGTCCAGAAATGACAAAAGTGATAAGTTTGGTTCATGACTCTTTCATTCAATGGTGCTGCCTGAAAAGTCCATATAGAAAAAAATTATTTAAAACCAACGTTTAAGGGAGTCTTTTACACTCGGAGCAACAAGGTATACATCAGAACGTACTTGAACAGCGTGAAAGTTGGGAAAACACCTTGCGCAAGTGCAATGCATCCGCATTCATCGCGACGATTTCTGCAGACCCGCCTATCGTGCGAACGCGATGTGGAACCCTCGGGGCGTCATCCCGGTTGGAGTGCCGAGGCAGGCTCGCGAGTATAAGATGGACCATCCGCGAAGGGGGAAGGCCCTCCTCTTCAACCAGAAAACGTTTCAGTCCGACCTGGACCTTGGGGTGCGGGGGGGCACGGACAAGGATCGGGATGCCCTCCTTTGCGTACTCGGTTTTCTTCGTTTTGAGATTCATCTTTTCGAAGATAAATCCTTGAAGGAGATAAAAGAAGTCATCGATAATGGTGAGTTTTCTCATCGTTTCGACGGTATGGAGTAATCGGATTTCAAATGACAGTTGGTCAGGGGTTGCTCTGACAATATTAATCCCTTACCGCATGAATTTTTTTGTCGCGAACATTTGAAAAATATTCATAGTTGTGTACAGCAAAGGTAGTATTTCGCTAAACTGGCGAACAGGTGGCTGCACGTTACAGGCGGGTTGAAAGCTTTGTATCTAATACGCCACGTCATGAAGTCACTTGGAGTCGACCTAGCATCGTGCAAATTAAAAGTGTTTGAAGGTTCGCCTCATGTTTGACGCATTATGCAGGAGGGGCTGGCTTTTTCTCGTGACAGTCGCAGCGGAGAATCACGAGCAGCACGACTGCCTCGTCGTGTGCTTCCTGAGCCATGGGGAACACGGCTTGGTCTATGCATGCGACCAAGCTTTTCAGCCTTCGTGCCTTTGGGTCCCGTTCGCTGCCGATCTTTGTCCCACCTTGGCTGGGAAGCCAAAATTGTGTTTTATTCAAGTAGGTTTCCCAGAACTCTACGTCCTCGGATCACTTTCGCAGTTTTTGGATTGCTTGGAGGCTAAAAACAAATTTTTTAAGTGGATATGAAAAGCTCGGCATACACAGAAACAGGGTGCAAGAGAGGTATTACTGCAGGAAGCGTCACTTGGTTTCTTTGTTAGCGATAGAAAGGACATAACCATTGATTAGCGTCATGGTACATTTACCAATGGTTACCAGCCAAGATAACTTGCTTTTGCATTCTAAATGACCGTCTACAATGCAGAACTAGCTGCATGGAATCATGTTCTTATGGTGAACTTGTGCTTTCTTGCATAGGACATATATTTCAACTGTATCTTTTGTGCATCTGGAGTAAGACATTAGAATGGCTGTTTTGCCTAATACTTTTTGGCCATCGATTCATACATTTGAAAATTGCAAAACTTTCTCCCAAAAAAGGGGTGAAAGTGTTATTTAGTGCAAGTTAAAGGAGAAGTAGAGCCCGGTGGGCACAATTTACTTGAACTTATTTGTAAATTATGGAGAAAAACCTTGTGCAAGACTTCCTGTGTGTGTATTGGGTAATTATACTAATTACTTGGGTTCTGGGTGTAATACTTATCATTCTATTCTAAAGGGTGACTTTTGCAGGCATGTCAAGGAAAACTTGCGGACGAGGGAGTGACCCTCAAGTGCAACCTGACCGACACGGATTCGAGGCAGGAAGCCGATTCTTACCGGATCCCAGTCTTCGCCGACTTTCTCATCGCGTATTCCACTGTTCCAGGCACGATGCTCGTCCACCTTCATCTCACCAAGAGTGTCGATACCATGGTTCTGAATACCACAGGGATTTTAAATTTGTTAGATGTCTGTGTCCCAACACAGGCTTCAGTTACACTTCTCAACGGTTTACTAACTGTATTTTGTCTCCTCGAAGCGAATCTGAAACGGTAAGACGGGAAAATGCGAAACCCAGTATCGATGGAATAGACGGTGCGAAAACCAACGTATGCAGGACCAGACTGGGTTATGGTGGCGTCGATGTCGCATCACGTCACACAGAGAGCCCAAACGAAGGAAAATCGCGTAAAGAACTTATGATGACCAAAACAATCTAATGCGATAGTGTTCAGGTCGTTTCCCTTCCACCCTTGCAAGTAGGGATAATGTTTTGTTTTTTTTAACCCTGGAACTGCCATAAGCAGCAGGGCAGCCTACCAACCGCGACTTTATCCACGGTCGAAGACCTGGGCTCGTCCTCGGTCCCCACCCTCTCCCAAAATTAAAATTTAATTGCAGGCTATAGCAGAATTTTTCCGCAAGAAAACTCTAGGGTATATTAACACCTTTAAGGTCCACATTAAGACTTCGAAAGGAATTTGGCATGCAAGCACTACACCTAAAATTCTCCAGAAGCCTTCGGGGAAGGTATTGCGCGAAATCGACAAACGAAATGTGAATTCCTTTTTAAAATATTTTCTTTACGAAGGAGCATCTCAAATGATGCAGGAGTGTTCTCATGTAAGGTATTTCACAGCAATGTAACAATACTAGCGGAGCCCCACGCAAGTTGCGCGGAGTGGCAAAGCAGCGATTTTTAGATTTTACCATAAATAGTTAACGTTCTTCTTCTGACCTTCAATATATTATGAACTCAGTCATAAAACAGTAGCTTTAGAAATTTTTTCTTGACTTTTTTTTTTGAAGAACACATACAATTCTTTCGCATGAATTTTAGGAATTGACTTTTAAAAAATCGGACATTATTTTAATTGAAAACCTTTGAGGACACGAAATGGAGTGCATAGGTGCCATCGTTGCCTGTGTGTCGGCCTTATCGGGGCCCAGGCTCCATCTTCACCTTAGCGTTTTGCAAGCGCTGTACTTTTGAGAGAGCTAAATGGAACTGTGGGAAAATACAGGTTCGGGAAGGTACGATCCAATTCGTTTGCCTTTGCCCTTCGACTTTGTCGATGGTCATGGCTAAAGCAACACGGATTGGAAACTGACGCCGTTTGATCGTGAGAGGCATCGTCGGGCCATACGGAGCCAAGTCGTGGAGCAACACTCTTTGTCCTTTAGCTTTGCCAGTCGATGTCTCCGCGTCCCAACAGTTCTCGTGTAGTCGCACAACTAAGACTCGAATTCCGTTAACCAGGCCTTGCTCAATATTTAGGTATCTCATGAGCATGGCGATTAAACCACGCTTTAAAGTATATTTATGGCGAGCAAGCCCGGCTGGAGTAAGACTGTCGATGATGAACTCCATTAGGTATTTTTTCCCCCTCCATTATTCGAGACCACACTGTCGACGCTATATGTCTTTTCGCATGCTCAAGTTCCTATTTTTGCTTGAGGTTTTCGTTCAAGGGTAAATTAATTATTTTCTCACGCAAAGAAACAAGCTGATACTAAACAAGCGCGCACGTTTTTGGAAAAGTTCTTTTACGCGTGCCGCGAACAATGTTTTGACTTTCCAGGGAGTAAAGAAAGAGTTCTTAATGTTTCATGAGGAAAACAGCAGTTGTTTTCCCTATTGGAGGAACCAGGACCTAGAGCCTTGCACGGGTTGATGCCCGACCCGTTCGACGTCGATGGTCCAACTTTTCCACATCCTTCTTTGGGTCGGGCGGAATTTTAACATTCCATTTTAAATATCATTTCTCTGGTCTGAGACCATAGAAAATGCGTATCATGACTGGAATCGCATTTATGCATGTAATCTAAGAAAAGGAAAATACTCCAGTGTGTGACCATGAAAATAAAAGGAAGGAAGGAAGCTCAGGTCGAGTGCTGACTGACGTGAATTAGGCCTATCGAGTCTGGTACCGGGAAATTGGCCCGCGCATGGCTCTACCTGGATAGCGAAGTGGTGAAATTTACGATAGCTTATGACTCATCCTGGGTTTACGATATTTCAAATCTGATCGCACGGTGCACACCTGCTGCATAAGCTTTCGAACGATATATGGAACGCCATAGTATCTATTTGCATAACGTCGCAAAACATGGCTTACAGACATAAATTAGCGCTACAATGGGCTTTGGTAACGTCCATTACCTTTCTTAAGCCCCTTTCGGTGACAAAATTCCACCGTCTCGCTTTCTTCTCTGAAAGCAACAGGAACAAAACATGGTATATTTCCTCTCTCAACACAAAATCGCTCCAGGAAATTTGAACCTCCATCTCGCTTTTGGGAGATGTGAATTTCGTTCCGGTTTTTTTTTTTCTCCCCTCCCCCGGGCAGCCGCTCCTGGAAAATTTTTGGAGGAAAGAGACCAACCAAACGAAAGATGAAAGATTTTGTCACCAGTAGGTGGCAAAAAATGTCCTTTTGGTTGATTCCAGTGCCCTATTTCACCGTGAAAAATGAAGGGTGGTGAGGTAGAAGAAACGTAAAACCATTGAAAATTGGTGTTCACATTATTAAATATAACTTTTGTGACTGTGCATTGTTTTCCCAATAGCTGGATGAGGAAAGATTGTGAAGCAAGGCATCCCTGTACGTTAACCATTTTCATGGGACCATGCGTTACAGATATAGAATAAAAGCAGAGCATATAATTCGCGATCCTAAGGTTGGATGTGTTGACGTGACGCCCCGTTTCCTCCAGGTTACTATTCCTGGCGAAACACGTTGAACGGATCGTGGTTCGTCCAGGCCCTTTGCGAGGTCCTCCTCGACCATTCCCACGAGGAAGACCTGATGAGCATGATGACGGAGGTGGCCCGTCGGGTGGCATTCGACTTCGAGTCCAACCTCCCTATGGACGCGAAGATGCACAGGAAGAAGCAGGTGCCTTTCCTCACGAGCACACTCACCCGTCGGGTCTTCTTCGATACCGTGCGGAGTTCCGTCATTCCGATTCCGTCATGAGATCATCCGAGCCATCTGACACGTATCGTTCTCGCTATCACCTTATCTGCTTCTGGGACTCGAGTTGTGATGTTTTTGCGTCTCGTACAATTTCGACAGTCGCCAAAATAAAGCATCAAATTACAAATAATGTTATCCCAGTGCAAGGGGTTCCCTTTTTGTAATTGTCTTCAGAATCCCTTAGCTTGCTGCTATTGTTAATCCCCGAAGCATCACCGGGGAAAGTATACACTGTTTTGGCAATATGTATTCCTGTCATAAAACTTATTGGATTCTCTGCATTCAATAATGGCGAGAGTTAATTGCATCAGATCCATTATTTCCGCTTGCTCGTCTTTCCCTTTACGTGTTGCATAATGGTCAGTCTGAGAGCATGCAATCATACGCAGCAGTACCGAAAGAAATGGAAACTATTTACTCCCCTTTCCCGCGATCGCTGCCACAGAGTATGCCTGTCTTGGGGCTTCTTTTATCTATTGTGCTGATTTCATTGCGCTCAAGATTTAGTTATCGATTTGCTTTTTCCTTGCCTTCACTTACATGGGAGATAACACCTTGTTGAACACTGCCAGAAGTTCTTTCATACCTTCATGATGTCAATGATCTGCTTTGGCAGTGACTGCTGATTTTGTTTTTAACTTTTGGATGATCTCGTGCTTTCGCGGATGATTTCCGTTCATGTATCTCCTGAAAATAAATCCCAATCGACGGTTCATTTCATGAAAAAGGATGCATTACGAAGATAATGAAACTTCCCTGAGTTTATTAGGAGATGAACAAGGCTCTGATGTATGAACCCTAAGAAGATGATGCTAACCAAACGCTGGTGCCGAAATGTTTTACTGTCACGGAGAGGTGTCCCTGTCCTATGATGTTGCAGTTTCGTGCAATTAAGGTTATCGGGAGGTTTTTGTCGCAAGACAGACGTGATTCAATGGCGATTCCGTTTCGTGAGGTAGACAAAAGAAATTCTCTCACGAGCCGCGGTATATCTGGGAGTGTCGCGAACGTAGCCGGAGTCGAGAAGTTCTTCTGCACGTGTCTGCTTGGAATCGAGAGAGTTGGTTCATTTGTGCGATGAAAGATGCCGAGTACCATTTCAGTTGGTATTGTCGGAGCGATGCACCGTTGATCCAACGTACCCATCTGAGATATGCTTCTCAGGCGAAAGCGTCCTGCACGAGATAGGGTAAAACACCCAGTGATGGGCCACACAGCACATAAAAATGTCAACAGCTAAGCTCGAATGGCACGTCAACCCCTGTTGTGACGTAGGCTGGCAGATTGCAAGCATACGTGAGAACATCTAAAAGTTCGCGTTTTTTCAGTGAAAAAATCATTCCGGCGGATGTAGCTTTTCCTGTATGTTGAGTAGAATCTATCAATATATACTTGATTTTAAAAATTTTTCCTCCAAGAAGTGCCATGGAAACGAGAAATAAGAGGTCCAGTTATGAGTTCCCCTGTGAATTTCCGCCCCAAAGTAATAAACAATGGCGCGCGATTCTTTTGCACAAATTCCGGCGGCGTTTAAGCGCGCATGACTGCTTTAATGAGCTCCTTCGAGTGTATGGCAATGAAGCCCCAAGCATGACGACTGCGAGGAAGTGGATTGGCCATTTTCGAACTGGACATTTTGACCTCACGGACGAACCACGTGAAGGTCGCCTAAAATCTGCGACAAATGACGAAAATGTGGCTGCCATCAAGAAGCCGATTGAAGAGGATCCCCACCTGACCCTTGAGAAGATGGAGCATCTATCTGGGATAGATGCCACGTCGATTGCAGGAATCCTGCACGACCACCTGAACATGACGAAAAAATCTTGCCGGTGGGTCCCACACGTCCTGACAGCGGAGCTAAAACGACACCGGGTCACTTTAACAAAGCGTAGGGATTTCTTTTAGCTTCGCTGAATCGTTGCGTTCACGGCGGTTATCGTCTGCGTTGCTCGCAATGATGCCGTTCGGTCGTGCTTCTTGGCGGCCAGAAATCCTCTTCCCTTAAATTCGGCAACGTACTGCAGAGTAGTGGACTTACTGGGAGCATCTCGAGTCTGAAATTCTCTAATGAAGGTGATAATTTTCAAACTCGTTCAATAGTGACGATGTTAAGTTCCACGATCCCTGTATACTGTCCCAGGCTCCAGGGGATCCATGCATGGTTAAAAACTTGACTGTTTTACCTTCGATCTAAAATGAAATAATTACAAAGTTTTCCTTTAAAATCGATATCTTTATTTATTTATCTTGATATCATACTAAACACCCTGTAGTGGAGGAAGACAGCATGATGAATGGGTGTTCAGAAGGTCCCAAGGTCGCCGCCGTTGCAGAGGTCCCCCGAGCAAAGGCATACTACCCAGCCTTCGGGGATGCCGGGCAAGCCACCTGACAGAATACAGTCTGCCATGTTCGCTGAGTAACACGAGAGTCTCTGCAGGACATCTGGAAGTAGAATGAATCCGAGTGCATGGTATGAATAGTCATAGAAGAATGTCGAAGCTTTCTACAGCCGTCATTCATGCGTCCATCGACTAGGAATGGTTGCAAGGCGCATTGTGGAAAATTTTCCCCTTCACCTCGAATGCGAGGGAGCCGGTTTCTAGTAGCGCAAACCTCACGAGCCTTCTAGTCGAATTGAACCTATATTTTACATTTTCGGAAAAGCAAACGTGGAAAATGGGGGAAGATTTAAAACTGTCCCGCTGAGAATTGAGACTATTTCGTTCGTAAGGTTCTGTAATGCCAGCCCTCTCACGAGAGCTACATCACTATTGTGGTTTCTTTATGACTTGAAAACATTCTCATCTCAAGAAGCGTGACGATCTTCATTCGAGGAAGAATTTCTCAAATGACATGGAAAAAAATTTTTTTTTTCGAAATCGAGAAAAACTTTATTCGGTGCTCACCATTCTGGTCCCGCATAGATGCACAGAACCATTCCAATCCTTCTGGTAGGTCACCTGCGCATTCGATTTCATTCCAATCCTTCTGGTAGATCACCTGCGCATTCGATTTCATTCCAATTGCCTTCCCCGCAAGCATCAGCACCCGAACAATCGTAGCAGACCAAGGCACTTCCACATCCTGCGGGGAAAAAAAAATCACGGGAACGTTTCGACAGCCAGACTTTAAGAGTTACAAGTATTAGTGGTGGAATTTTTTTTTCAACAACTTACCAACAAGAACGAGAAGGCCGATGAGTACAACAAATATCTTCATTGTGAAAATCCTGCTTGAAATAAATACATGAAACATATCGTTTGTGGTGCTTGCCGATTCCAGATAAAGTTTCGTCGCCGAGGGAGAAGACTCGAACCATACAAGAACCAATTTGGCTCAATTGAATAAAAAGTGACGGTGGTATCATACACGCCCCCGAAGTAACGGAATTCGTTGCGGAAAATCCTTCAGTAGAAAGTACGAGTCTATTAAAATGGAGTCATTCTTCTGCTCTTCCCCCATTTAATGAAACGCGGCTAGGGCCTCTATCAAGACCTACCCAAGTTATTTAAACGAACACGAAGCTAACCAGCGTGGCTGCAGCGAAACAAGGGAAAGTGACTCGACGATGGCGCGTCTTCCTCTCGTCTCAGTTACAGGGGAGGACGTAGATATCTCCTTCTCTCGGGTGGTTCCAGTCCACTCATACCGTTCGCGAGATAAAACACTGCCTTTTTAAAGTTTTGATATCAGGAAATTCGCGAATGTCGCAAGTAAAATTGTTGAATACCGCAAAGGCAGAGTCTGCCCGTCACTAGCCCCTCGCCGGAAAGAGAGAACCATCACGCTGAAACGTTTTCATTTCGTCTATTGCCTCGGTTGGGATCGCGTGGTCATCTGAGCCCGGCAGAGTCGCATGGAAGCGTCTTTTCTCCATCATATTCCGCGTTGACATCAAAGAGTTAAAAAAAAAAGATTTTTCAATTAAAAAAGTGAAGGCTCAAGGCATCGTGCACTTTCAAATATTTCACACCCGAACTTTGAAGTGCTTCTACAGCTTAAAGAGGAATGGAACGTTCTGAAATGAAATGTACATTGCAAATCAGTTGACGACTTTAATGCACGACAGTAGATATAGTGGGTTCTCGAGAAAGAACAATCCAACTGCTGCAAGGTTAGTTTCGCTCCATCCCGGAAACATGGTCCATGGGCGTGGTCAGTCACAAAGGTGTGACTTCAAACACGAAAACAGCCTTTTCCCGTGACATAGATGTTATCTCTCCAAGATAAAAATGGGCGACAGTGGAATTGGAGGGAACATGCCATCTTTTATTTCCCACAGGTGAAGCGTAGTTACTGCGTAGGCAACAAAATAAAGCCACGGGCCAATATGATATCTTCCTGCCGTTACGATGTATTCCTCAGCATAAGGCGTTGCACAACCTTCCCAAGCACCTGGCACCCAATGGCACCGGACACCATCATGAGGATCGTTGGCATGGTGCCAACGATCCTCATGATGGTATCCGGTGCCATTGCGTCATACATATAAGCAAAATGCAAGGCGCGACTGCTGCTTGAAGGAATGCACTCGATGTATGTGCTCTCGTCATCTATCTTTCCATCTTCACAGACTGTCAATCCACCAACTTCCCTATCTGCGACAGTAACCCTTATTACAGAAAGCATGAGACTCTTGATGACGCAGCAACTAGATGCGGACACTTTATGGAATCGTGAGATGATCCCCGATAAGCAAGATAGAAAGGAATCGAAGGTGCGAAATCGTTGAGTTCTTTTGGACTGTATGGTATGATAAGACATGGTCTGCTCGAGAAACTTTTCACACTCGGCTGTTATTCCCTATCGCATAGTTAACTCAGTAATTCAGGCATGCGTGCAAAAATGAAGGGATTGTCCTCGAGCAGCTGCTGTAATTGAACCCAACCAATGTCACTGTTAGAATGAGCTATGGCTGGTGGACTCGCATTCAAGCGTGTTTCGTGTATATTTGAAGAGTGAGGAAAACACTTTCGATTCAAAATTGCGTCCTGCAATATCAGCCATTTTTGCAAAATGAGTTGCCTTCGCGAATTATTCTTAGTAAATAGGCCTACAAAGTACTAACAGTGCCGAAATTCCCCTGATAGAAAATTTTGACCGACTTCAGCGACTGGCATCTGGATTCTTAGACGGGTAAGTGCAGAGTTCAAATAATATCGGAAAGTGGACGTGTCCTTTCTTACGATACCAAATTCAACATTGGCACTCTATGGCCTGATGAGATATAACGGTTTGACTGCATTAGTGCCAAATTGGTTGTGCCTGACAATCAAAGACTCAAGTAGTCCTTGGGCTTGTCGTTGAATTCTTGAAGTTTTTTTTGCAGATGAGCAATAGAATCACCGGTCACGGGGCTATACGAGTCCACTCAAGTGACATCTGGACGTTGTACTGGACGTTCGACCCCGGTTCTGAGTGGTTTTCGGACTTGCAATGCTTACCGGTGAGCATTGTGTGTGCGCTCATAGTGCATTTTCATCGCCAATACATGACGTTCTCGAAAGACTTTCGTTGAACGGGAAATTAACATTACCTTTAACCATTTAACTCTCCCTAACCTTAGTGAGTTTTCTTCACAATCCTAGCATGTTTCGAGAGAAAAAAAACCTGAGGTCATTCAACGATAAATTTATCGTTTTTGTTCTGATGATAGATAATTAGGACTGTAATGCGTGAAAGGCGAAAGTTGCAGCGAACTGAATAATGGTTACTTACTGAAAATGTGAAACAGATGTTTCGTTAAAAACTTGAAAAGTATATTTACGAGCTTACTGATCAAAAGGGTCAGACGAATGTGTGCAATCCATCTGACAGAGACTCGAACAAAGAATTGTTCAAACAATCGAGGCCCAAATAATTTTCTCACAGTGCCCAAACTCTCCCCACAGACACCAGAGGATTTTTTAAATAAAAAGAGTCTTTAAGGGGGGATACAGTCCAAGGAGTCTCTGGAAAACTCTGATTTGAAGGAAGATGTACCTATCGAAATGAATCCATGGGCACTAAAAATTTAGATATACCAGTTTTAGTGAAATTCATCATCGACACTTTGCGCACCGCTCATTATCTCCGTTTTGAGTCCTTTCGGAAGTCCTTTTGCCTAGCTTATGGCTGATAACTGAGGCTTAGGTCAGAGCGGCGGATCGATTGGGTAAAATGTCCGGTATGAATGCGTTCAGAATCCCCGAGATCCGTGCGGGGCGTCATTAATTCCATGGGAGATAGAAATTTCCATAACAACTTAATCTTTCTTCGACTACGCACGGTAACATTAGGGAAGGAAACAACTGCCTCACTGTGGTGGGGGGGGGGGGGGGGAAATGCTCGCATGGTGAAACCTCCTTTGCGCTAGGATTAACCAGTCGCAAATCACGAGTGGTGAAATCCGGTTGTCTTTGTGCTCTTGGTCGAATTTTCGATCATGCATCATGAGTTTGCACTAAGCCTTGTTAACTGTCTGACCTTGTGGGACAAAGGTGTTTTGACCCGTCTGCGAGAAAAAAATTAGAAAAAAACGGCCCCAAATTTTCCAAAATGAAGCCTGGTTTTTGCATCACGACAATGCTCCAGCCCACACTGCTCTCACAATTCGAGAGTTTTTGGCTTTAAAAGAAAAATACCTGTGTTGCCCCACCCTCCCTACTCACCAGACCTGGCTCCGTGTGACTTTTTCCTGTTCCCCAATATTATTTTTCACGTGAAAGGAAACTTTGAAGACATTGCAAGCATCAAGGAAAGTGCGACGACGCAGCTTAAGAGTCTTACACTCCAGGACTTCCAGAAGTTGCAGGAGCGTTGGGATAAGTTCATAGCATCGAGAGGGAATACTTTGAAGGAGACAACAACTTATTTTAATGTACTTATTAAACTTTTTGATTAGACCTCGTATATTTAAATACTAGACATATGATTCAAACGAAGCTTGCCCTGGAACGATTGCCAACTGCTTTTCATTATTTGACTTGTTAGTTCAATACAGTATATAGACGATCCGGATCAGGACGATTCAAGTAAACCTTCGTTATACAGACAAAGCGGTTCCACCAAATTAGAGGTTTTAGCTCGAAGAACGGAAGGGTATATTGGCGTTATCTTAATGAGAGTTGCCCCTCCACAGCTTCTACGGATGTAATGAACATCGTAAAAATGCATGGATTTTACGATGATGCTCCCGACGAAAGAGAAATTAGTAATATCAACTTCACTTGGCTATTAAAAGCAGAATCCCCCCATCATTTTTCACACGCGACCCCAAAAATCACGATCATACCATATCACTGGCCGAAGTCCCACCTATGCGAAGAAAAACATGACTTGGCTTTTGGCTGCCAGTTCGCGACCCCAGGGATGAGAAGTTCCGATTAAAAGCTAATATATAGAAAAGTCTATAATGTAAAGGCTTCATAGGACCAGGATTTTTCCCCAAAAAATCAGACACCAGGATACTTGTTCGCATTTAGTTTCGGCTTATCTTGTTCATGCCCACAAAACACTCCTGGGTTCTCATGTCCCAAAGTTGTTTGAGTATCTTATGGATTTGGCATTAGGAGCGTTACGAACTTTGAAATGCCTTCGGAATTCACGCTGAACCAAACGTTCAACCAAAATCCAGATAACCATTGTGCACCGTAAGCGTAAATTCAAAAATCGATCCAATTGCTCATCCGTCATACCCCAACGGCACTTAAGAGATAATGGGTGCCTCATGGATTCCCGTAGGCGTTACAGAATTTATTCCAAACCAATTAATTTTTGAGGATATAGAAACTTCTGAAACATACAGGTACGAGCAAGATAAAGGAGAACAACTCCAAGAAAATTCCAGAGAAGGCGAAAGTTGAAGCTAGCCGTTGCAAATAGATGGACCAACACACCTATCGAAACAAAAATTAAAGGACAGATTTGGGATGAGCTCCTTACAAATCAAAAGGTACTGGAAAATAAAATTTGTCAAGGGCAGAGATGTGTTAGCTATCATCAACTCTCGATCATTTTATCTGTACCCAGACGTCCGGGGTCGCGAACTCATAAGCCATTGCTTATCGAGCCAAGATTTTGGGGCAGAAGCAGCACCTTATCCCAAAATGGAACGAATGGATAGGAGAAATCCGTAGGACCAGAACTTGGTGCGTTGTACATTTGAAGTTTTTCACTCGTTCAATTAAAGTTCATGAAGACTAGCGGAGTAACACGATTGAATGAACGTTTATATTAATATCTAGTAACCTACGAATATAAAAAATACAGAAAAAACTGTCCAAATAAACTTTCAAGATTTTCAAAAATAATTTTTTTGAACCCTACGTTATACTTCAAAGAAAGCCCTCTCACATCGCATCTCCGACAAGTGTACCTGTTTATAGCATTAAGACGTGAGAGAGCGCCTGCTGCGTTGAGCGTGCAAAGGACTGCTGACTGAACTCGTGAATTCTCGACAATGTTACACACTTAAGCCCACCGCAGACGAGACAATTCTTTGTTGCTCCACCGTCGCGCAACCGTAGCAGATGGGACCTCGCGTAAGGAGCAATCTGCAAGCATTTGGATGGGCAATGCGGACTTAATTTAAGGAAGCTGCTATATTGAGATTTTATGTCGCAATATGATTCCTGGATGTCTGAGTTTGGGCGGGTCCACATCGCAGCAACATTGCAAGACTCCGCTCACGCAGTAACAATCGAGCGTCGGCAATATTCATCGCCGAAAATTTTAACAATATGCTGTCGCGATCATCGCAGCACCCCGTGCACGGACCATTATTATTTTGGAGCGACGGTCGCGATAAGGTGTGAAGACGCTCAATGGTTGGAATTCGTACTTACATCACTGGGGATTTTGTCTGAGTATTGTGACAGTTGAGTGCGTAACCAATATGTTAATGCGTGACATAAAAGAGAGTAATAAGTACTGTAGTCTTCAGTTCAGTCGACATTGGTGTGAAAAGGTCACCTCCAAGATGGGAAGTCGTGTCCTGTTCACTTGCAATGCGGCAGTATCCACTGCAAGTTACAGTGCTGCTTTCAATGGTCAAATATATGATACGTTACATGCAGCCGTGAAATATCATTGCGATATTCAACATGAAGAAGGTGAACTACGCAAACGATACTTTCGTGGTGGAAAGCGTCAGTAGCTGCAATCTTAGCTAAATGAATCACATGAACCAAAAGGTGAATATTTCAAACGATTCATGTCCCTTTCACCAAAACAGTACCATAGTGGGAACTGTTCAGGTGTTAGCAGCAGTGGACAGGTTTTCAAATGACTTACGAAGGCAAGAAGCAGTTTCACAAGGATAAATATTCATATACCGAAGCCTGCATTTGATGCAGAAAGAGTCAGAAATTAAGACAGACTGTATATATTGAGCATCTCCTGTCAGTATGAGCCCAAGCTGAGGTGATGTTCACACAAATTGGAACTTAGAACTGTATCACGCCCTAGCTTCCAAGGAGGCATTATGAACAAGGTCAATTGTGCAAACT